TATGTTCAAGGACGTAAAAGTCCTCTGGCCTCGTGACGGAGAATGCAGTTTGGATGGGGACCGACTCATCAGATTGTCGGGCATCCTCTTTACCTCCCTTGTTTCACGGGCATCTCGATGAGGGGCGTCGCCGCACCGATATTGCCCGAGTCTCCCCCCTTTTATGAGGGTCTCGATAACGTCTTTGAGATGGACACAATCTTCGGTCAAGTGCCCATGGCTCCGATGATACTGGTAATACTTGCTTCGGTCTACCCCAAGTTTAGCAGAAGCGGGGCGAGGACGCTTGACGCCGTCGTTCTTGAAATCTGTATCCGCGCACTCTGCTAAGATGCGCTCGCTAGAAGCCGTTAGCGGAGTGTACTCAGTGAACCTCCCCGAGGGTCCCCTTTGTTCCTGGGCGTCTTGGGGTTTGTCGTCCCTTCTCTTCTCGCCAGTTCGTTGAGGAGGGGCGATGTCTTGTCGCAGATGACTGGTAGATCCGCGATTCCTGGGATCCCGGGCTCTGTTGACTGCTTCTCTCTCCTCGTAGTCCATGTAGGCTCTGGCTTTCTTGAGGAGGCCATCGAATGTCTGGGGCGGTTCGATCCCTACGGCCTTTCTGAATTCCGTGCCCGAGAGGAGTCCCCTCTCGAGCAGATATCTCTTCATGTGATCCATACATGAAACCTGGATGGCCTCCCAATTGAACCGATCAATGAATTCCCTCAGGGTCTCATCGTGTCTCTGGACGATGGCCTCGAGGGCTGCTTCGGTCTTCGAGTGTCATCGCGAAGCAGTGAATAAACTGATGAATTGGCTCTTCAGATTTTTCCAAGAGGTAATTGACCCCGGGGCGAGACCTTTGTACCAATCCATCGCAGCTTTCCTCAGAGTCGTGGGGAACAATTGGTATTTGATTGGTCCCCTGACATTGTGATAGTGTAGCATGGCCTCAAACCTGTCTATATGGTCGACCGGGTCGGCGATGCCGTCGTATTCCTTTAGGTGGGGAGGCTTCTCCATTCCCGGAGGAATGAGTGCCTCCATGATAACTTATGACAAGGGACCGCGGGGGTCGTCCTCATCACTCTGTTCGGACGAGCGAGACGGAGATCTGACGTAGTGGAGGTTATGGTGGCCCTGGTCGCACGGAGCGGTCCTCGGGCGGTAATGGTCATTCATTGTTTCCCCCATTTCTGTCTCTAGGGGGTCTTCGTTCTTGATGCGAGGGGCCACGATCGCGTCTCCCCGTGTTAACGGACTGGTCCCTTTCTAATGCAGGGCGTCGCCCGATTGGACGAGGAGAAGAACTTCGAGAGATATCCCGACTACATCTCCTCGGGGGAGATTAGGGATGTTCCTCTGCTTGTCGAGGAGGAGGAGATTGAGGTCTTATGTGTTTTCTTGGGGTCTCTGGTCGTCTTTGAATGCCCTCAATCTTTCTCCTTGAGCGAAGATCAGGTAGTTGATCTGATTTATCGATGCGAACAGTGCCCTGATCGTGGCGTCTGCCCCAGCAGGAACGGAGACCTCATGGAACTGGACATGTTGGTAGTTCTAGGGAGGTGGCCGATCATCTTCGAGTCGATGAGGCAGTGATAATGATGAAACGGTTGCTCCGTCTCTATAGTCAGAAGGCCCGGGCATATTAATGCACGGGACTGTGTTATGGTCGGTGGTACCGGCATTATTGTCGGTGATGTTGTTGTTGACGTCAATGATACGGACATCCATGTTCTCTGGAGTCTGGTTAGCCATGACAGTCGAGAATTGTTTAGCTTTAGTCTTAAGTAAATAGAAGACGGGGAAGCAAGTTTTCCACAGACGGCGCCACTGATCTTACCAGATCAGAAATGGACCGTCACAGCTAGCTCAGGCAGAAGTTGAATGAGATAGAGGATATCTGCAAGACACTATGATGGCAAAGTAAGTTGCGGAATGAGCAAGCAAGTATGAGTTCAGAGAAAGATGTTGAATACCTGACCCTCTCGAAAGAGAAGGTATTTATAACCTTCAGCGTTGGACCAAGGTCTCTTTATTGGGTTGATCAAACAGACCCAACATAAAGACTGCCAGGTTCTACGTGAATAGTGAGGACCCGCACGTGGCCCCCTACCTGGATGACGTCCCCCGCAAGACCAAGAGGATATGGACGCGATCTTTCCGGGACCACGAAGACTCCACAATATTCGGAGAGGTTGAAAGTCAGCCCTACGAGGAAGGTGCTCAGGAGGAGCGCCTGCTCGTCAGGGATGGTCCCCGCGAGCACCGACGGGAAACAGTCTTGGTCGACAAGGCCTCTGTGGTCGGGGTGTGTTCGAGAAAAATATAAGTCAGCGCAGCAGGTTGGTACGCTTGGATTGGGCCTCACTAGAAGTTGGGTCAAGGGCAGGCCCAGTCCAGAACACCTATTAACATATATTTTATGATATTATTTATTTGAGAGAACTTATGAAAAGAATTTATGACATTGCTTATAAGATTTTTCCAGAGTATTTTCATAAGTCCTTCTAAATATATAAAGTTTACTTTTGTATTTTAATTTAAAATACAAACACCATATAATAATAATAAAATTATTCATATCTATATAAATAAGAGGCCCGATAGACTTAAAAGACTTTTTTTGCAGCCAGTGGCCTAGCCTATTTAACTAAATAGACTTATAAAAAAATCTGAGCCTTTTCTATTTAAATAAAAAGTCTGGTCTGACTTGGACCTATGTAGGCTAGCCTATAGGCCCCTGTTATTAATCCAATCGAATTATTGTTTCTTTTAATTCTTACTTGCATTTTTTACTTAACCCATTTTCCCAATACAATTGACACTAAAGTCATGATAACTTCAATGTACATTTTTCCCAAAGAAATTAAAGTCATGATCCTTCAAACAATAAACCTAAAACTAAGTGATTGTTTACCAAAAATCATAGGTGAACAAATTATCACGCCCAATGAGACCCTTGTGCGGTTTCTTTTCTTTTTGTTAAAAAGTAGTCAGTTGTTATTTGTTGTTAATTCTTTTTGTTGAAAAAATGTTTTATGCGTCTGTATTTTTATGCGTTTGAGAAATGATAAGACTCTAGTCAAAATGGTTTTCCATAGGAATACTTTACCCCAATATGACATCTCAGACACTGAACAGCCTCTCGGATCAACGATTGCAGCGATAGGACCTTCAAATCTCCAAGTAACTAATGAACATATCCTTACTCCGGTAACGAATGTGACGTCTTTACTAGGAGTGGTGGTCGCATTTTCTACAACAACAAGCATTCTGACCACTCTCAGGGTCACACGATCTGCTATAAGAGACCCTAGGCCTTCGTATGCTCCAAGTCTTACATTACCACAAGTCTCTAGGGAATATATTTATGGTATGCCAACCGCAATGATAGCAAGATTACAGAGTCATGCGTCAATGTTTGTTGATAACAATGCAACGATACCATCCCATCTGAGTCCATATGCGGCATCAGGATTCACTATCAGCAATCCTGGTCGAATCATTCAACTAGGAGGGATTGGATTTCCCCTCCAAACATGTCTGCTTTAACTAAAAATTCCATGATGACCATAAGGCATCAAATGGATGACAGTAACCATGAGATGGTTAATATACTTAATAAATTGTAACGGTGTTCAGTCCCCTGATAAAGAACACTAACCAAAGTTACTAATTATTAGCTAATCAAATGGGTCGATTTTTTCAGTACCCCTCAGACTAAGGAACATCCAATTCCCCAAGTTATGCAAGCCATATAAGTTTCCTGACAATAGATTTGTCTATGTTAACTAAGGGCAACAACAATAGATATGTGTATAAACCTTCGAACCTCTTGTGCAAAAGGGAGAAGAAGAAAACATAGATTAGGCTAATCCAAGAGTGTGTTTGATACATAAAGACCAAGATGACGAGGACGTAGTAGGAATGTTAAGTGTGTGTTTGGTACATAAAGACCAAGATGACGAGGACGTAGTAGGAATGTTATACAAGATAACCTGGGGGGGGGGAATAATTTAGCCCACATGGTCAAAAACATTCTAGCTCAAATGGCCTGAGTATAGGATTACATATGTCGAATTTTGTGTCTCCTTTGTCTGAATATGTGTTGCAAGTTGAACTCCTTAGGGGATGAAAAGTCTCTAAATTCACTAAGTTCGCATGAGATACAAGTGAGTCGACTGTCGAACATATTGCTCGATACCTAACTAACGCAAGAGATATAGCGAATAATGAAAATTTAAAGATGAGATATTTCCCAAACTCTCTAACAAAAAACTCCTTCACATGGTTTTCTACACTCCCCCTCGCTCCATACATAATTGGAATCAATTGGAGAGCATGTTCCATGGGCAGTTTTATATGGAACAATCGAATATTAGCCTCACAAAATTAGCTAGTGTTAGGCGCAAATCTAAACATGTTCTGATTGTTGAAAACAAGATGTTTTACCCAAGTGTCCGAGCATGAATTGGTCGAAATTGACGCATGGGGTCTAGATTATTCCATTCGAAGTAAAATAAATACCCAATATTTGAGAGATATGGCTCATTTGGCACATAGGGTTCGATAGATCGAACGCTTAAAGGCAGAAAACGTTAGGTCGAGCAAGTTTCATAAAAAAGAAAAAATATCATATAAAGAAACTTATTTCGTACATCTCAATTGCAAATGACAATAATACTATTATGCAGCGTATATAGATGCGAGTTAAAGATGACAATGATGTCAGAGATACGATATTTATATTAACAATATTATTTTAATTGTTGTCATATCTTAGACATGTGGTGTTATGTCTTAAGTCTTATATTTTATTGTCTCCTAAGACCTTATTTTCTCTCTCTAATTAGATTCAATGATAAATAAGTGGATAGAAAAAGATAAAATAAGTTTTTTAAAGGAGGGTCAAACATGTACGGATAGAAAATGTGGAGGGGGAGAGAGAAGATATTTATATGGATATGAATGAATATAATTAGGTGAAAGTGAAACATACAAGATAAGAAGAAAAAATGAATATGATTTGGCTTTACCAAAAAGTAGAAAGGAATTTGTTGGTTTCCAAGAAATGGTCAAAACAGTCAAAGTGGAAGCTAATACGTACCTTATCAACATTTTTTGTGCCACAAGTAACAACTGGTGTACTACAAGATTCAACAGACCAACAACAGAAACTACTGCAGCTAGTTAGGGTTGAACAGATACATACATGAAAGAGGAAGAAGGTATAGAGAGATAGTACTGCTGCTACGTATATACATTGAACAAGTGTTTTTTCTTCCTATTCATTCACAACTCAGAACGATGGATCTGTTTGTTCAACACATTACGTCTTTAAGAAGCTTATACCTGCGTGTTGCTTGTCTCGGTGACGCCACCGGACTCTTCCTCTTCTCCGAACAATTCTCCTCCCGATGCTTCTCGCCGGAACATCCAGAACGACGGTTGATCGTCACCGCCGGTTTCTTGAAGCCAACACTGCTTTTACCTTTGCTTTGACACCAATCGCACTCTTCAATCTCACTTAGGTCACCATAGAAGTTACTACAATACCTAAAATTAACATTAACTCACTGTTATGATTTGAGAAGAAATTGAAGAAAGGTGCGATGAATCGACTTACGAGTGTTGGAATCGGTGGTGACATTTGTTGCATCGGAAGAGTTTGTCAGAGAAACCAACGTCACCGCACATGCAGCACACGATTTCATGATCCACCATAGCTAAGTTTCAATAGAGAAAAACTGACAACTTAAAACAACACTGAGAGTGAGAAAGTGTATATATGTATACTAAATTTGTATGTGTCGGTTTGATAAATTAATAATATGAATAAAAATAAAAAGAATTAAGAAAATTACAAAAGCAGATAAGCAGACCATCCTTTTCAGTTAAAGCGGGCTAAGGGAACCTTAAAAAAGAAATATATGTCAATAAGACATTTTTGCCCCTATGGATTACACCTATTCTTTCTTTTTTTTATACCACAGGTTTTGTCCACTTTGTTGGTTTTCGTAAGTTTATTTAATCGATCAAAGGCGGTTTGTATTTGTATATTCATCACAATTCAATGTATAATATTCTTTTCCATGTTTTTTGTGTTTGTTACTTTGGTTGTACTATAACAAGATAGATTCATTCATCTTGTAATTCCAACTCTTGATGGTTTTTAAGATCACTCGTCCATATTAACAGATAATTTGCTTCGATAAAAAGAGTATTGAGGACTGATCGAGAATGTCATCATTGTTTTACCTTTCGATATAATTCAAGAATATTTGAAGGTTGTTCAAAGAGTAAATTAAAAGATTTGAAAGTTAAGAATTATTTGTTTCAATATATTGATAGGTCAATCATGAAAATCATCCTTAAGTGCAAGTGAGCAAAGCAACCAATAATAGTTCAGATGTTATGCGCCGCAACTATCATAGATCTTCAAAGGCCAAAAAAGCACACATATAGGTTTTACGACGAGAATTTGATGTTCTTGCAACAAGAGAAAATGAAACGATTGATAAATAATTTGCAAGAACACTTGCCATTGTTAATTAAATGGTTGCACATGGAGAAAAACCATAACAAATATTGGTTGATAAGAAAATTCTGAAGTTGATTCAACCATGTTGTGTGCTCCATTGAAAAGTTCAATAATATGACAGCTCTTTCTATTGATGAATTCACTACAACAAATACTAAATTTTATAACAAAATTTTCACCCTAGTCAACGAATAATTGAGATGTAAACAATATGCGTGTCACATTTGATTTTTAAAAAAATAATATATATTCTCTCGATTGTGCTGGCAATCGAGGGGAAAAGTTATGCTCAATCCCCCTTTTAATCCCAACAAAGCGCATTTTATTTGTTTCAATTTTTAATTTATGACTTATTCCCTCGCTTGATGGTTTTTAAGATCACTCGTTCATATTAACAGATAATTTGCTTCGATAAAAAGAGTATTGAGGACTGATCGAGAATGTCATCATTGTTTTACCTTCTGATATAATTCAAGAATATTTGAATGTTGTTCAAAGAGTAAATTAAAAGATTTGAAAGTTAAGAATTATTTGTTTCAATATATTGATAGGTCAATCATGAAAATCATCCTTAAGTGCAAATGAGCAACGCAACCAACAATAGTTGAGATGTTATGCGCCGCAACTATCATGGATCTTCAAAGGCCAAAAAAGCACACATACAGGCTTTACGACGAGAATTTGATGTTCTTGCAACAAGAGAAAATGAAACGATTGATAAATAATTTGCAAGAACACTTGCCATTGTCAATTAAATGATTGTACATGGAGAAAAACCATAACAAATATTGGTTGATAAGAAAATTCTGAAGTTGATTCAACCATGTTGTGTGCTATGCTTGAGGTTGGCAAAAACTCACTTTGTAACCATGGCCAATACATGTTTATACCAAGTTGCAAATCTGACCAAACTAGCTTAGTACATAATTACAGGCCTCTAAACCAATTTACACTCAAAAATTGAATGCAAATACATTGTACATTGGCATTGTTCTGATCAAGAGAGCATTGTACAATGAACATTTCCATTTTGAGCATAAAGGTCATACTTCCATTTTCATAAAGGGAACTTTATGTCAAATTGAATTTTCTTGAGCCTTGGAATTTTTTCCTTGCAGCAAACAAGTTCCCTAATCTCAGACATAGTACACCAACTTGAGCATGCTTGTAACTAGCCTGTACATGCCATAGCTTAGTCACTTCACATCTTTGCTTTCAAAACAAGTCAAATGGCCAAAGGCTCATAACTCACACATCTGATAAAATCAACTCAAGAAAGTTTTCAAACAAGTTTTGCATACCCTTGTAAGCCAGAAGCACGAGCCTTTGACCTCTCAAACCTCCTCATACTCAAAAACCACATTTTCTTGCAAGACAGGGCCAGTTCTGCAAATCACAAGCCACCATCAAATCCTCTCGTGCATTTTGTCCAAAATCACTTCAAACACATTCAAAACCATATACCTAAGCTGTCCAGGTCATTCACAAGTTGTTGTAACTCCATTAACACACATCACCATTTTTGTTTGGAAGCTTTGCAGGTTGAGTTCTGTAGCACGATTCAGGCCACTTCAAAACAAACTAAGCATTGGGAAAGGTTCAAGGGACATCAGGCAAGCTCAAAAGAACCTCAGGCCCCATTGAAAGTTGTTGCATTGTCCAGCTCGAACTCAACTAAAACAGGTATTTCATGAACTTCTATCTCTCTATTTAGGAACATTTAGCCTTAGGTTTGTGAATGAAAGATGTTGTATTCATTGCCCTGAAGCCATACATGTGCTTAGTTTTCATTTATATTAATCGTGCTAGGAGAATTTCATCCATGAACTTTCTGAAAAAACTAGGTTAGAAATTAGGGCCAGAGAAATTCTCTCTGGTCTTTGAGAGTTAGCTTAAGTTTTTTATATGGTTGGATTCGTGATTTGATGCTCTACAAGTTTCATGTTTTGAGTTTTGTCAAAAGATCACAAATACAGGAGATACAAGTTTGTACAGGCATACGCGCGTTTTTTCAAACTTCTGGAGGTTGAAGATGAAGTCTGGGCTGGGCCTGGATTTCTTTGCTTCCAACACCTCCCAGCTTACTTTCAGCACCCTCTGGCCCATTTCTTTGTATTTTCATTATTTTTGCATTTTTATTTCTTTTCTGACTTTGATATTTTATTTTCAAATATAAAAAAATATTCCAAAAATATTTTCACAATTTTTTTTATATATTAGTTATTTTATTTTAATTTTTCTAATATAAACAATGTTTAAATACTTTATATTATTTTGTTTAAACTTAAAAATAATGTAAAAAATACTTTTATTTTCATTTATTATTTTTATTCACATTTGAAAATATTTTCTTAAAATATATACATTTTTGTAAATAATTTATTTTATTTTTTACACACTTAATATATATATATATATATATATATATATATATATATATATATATACTTTATTTTATTAAAAAAAACATAGAATAAAAAACACAAAAATAATACATTTTTATTTTTTTTAATATCTTATACTAAAAAATACTTTTTTAATACATTTTATTTTTGTACATATTAATATATTTTTTGTATATAAATAATATAAGATATTATTTTCTTAAAGAAATTAGGGTTTACCCCTTTAATAAATAAAATTAATCCTTTTTTTATTTTTTTATTTCTTTATATTTCTTTACATTGAAAATATTTTTACATACATAAAAACTTCTTTTTGTATAATACATTTTATTTAATATTTATTTATTGTGTTTATTTAAATATTGTACATTTAAATATTGTTGCATTGAGATTCAATTTGGATGTAATAGTAACTAGGGTTTATATTTCTTGTCAAATACCCCCCTATTTAAAATTGTACCCCCATCCCCATAATCATGTTGTAATAGCCTAGAATTTAAATTCTCGCACTTAACGCTTTCAATTATGCCATGATTAGAGAATTAGGGTTTGTATGCAAAATCAAATTAACAAATAGTTTGACCTAATCAAAGATAAAAATGCATGAAAAATAAACACAATGCACACTTGCACCCCTAGGGTTACAATCCACTTGTTGCCTTCAAAAATGGGCCATGGTATGCATGTCAAGTACTTTGGCAAAACAAAAAAAAACAAAAGATCATAGTCCCTCGATGACGCTATCTGAGTTGCCTAAACAAAATGATCTAGTCCCTCAAGAAAATTGCCAAAAATACTTGACACTATTGTTATCATGGTCTATACGATGACCCGCGCCTGTCCCGTTTAACATCCTAACACAAGGTTGTTCACCAAATACAATGGTGAAACAACACTGTTAAAAGGGTTAAAAACATAAGAAATATCTTTGAGTAAAATAGGGTAGACAACTCTTAGTTACTTGATCAAAGCTTGCAAAAAAACATCCTTGTTATCTTCAAAACACACTTCACCACACAATTTCAAAACCCTACTTTCAAAACATTATAAACTTTTCAAAAGACAAAAACACCTTTGTATACATTCAAACAAGAATCATTACAAAGGTTGCCACAATGATGGCCTCTTTTCAAAACATCTTTCAAAATCACACACAAAGCACCATTTCAAACAATTGAAGAGCACCATTTCAAACAATTGAAAAGCAAAGCAAGTGATCTAAACAAGTAACTAAGAGCCTATGGATAACCATGGATAGAAAGGGTGCTAATACCTTCCCTTTCTATAATCTACTCCCCGAACCCAAGAAAACATCTCAAAAGTCTTTCCTGTGCTTTTTGACCTTTTCTTAGGATAAAATAAAAAGTCGGTGGCGACTCTTGCTAAACCGAAACATTTGCGAACACAAACGCAAAATCCCAAGTCAGTTCTCCCACCGTATCACAGAACTGGCGACTCTGTTGGGGACAACTTTAAAAGTGGAGTAACCTTAGGGCTTCGATCACCCTTTGCATGATTATATTGTTTGCTTTGATTGCTTTACATTTGGTTCTCTTGTTTGGGCTTGAAATCCTCTACCCGGATTTGGGAAACATTCATAAGTAAATAGCAATATGTTGTGGAAATTGTGCGGGGTATACCGATATGGTTGAAGCAGTAGCTATATTAGTGCGACATATTTGTGAGTACCGGTAGCCTTTGAGTCAATCAAAGAGAATACAGGGTCGCTGAGTGGTGTCATAAAGCACTAATGAACTCTTAGAACCTTACTTGACCAT